ATGTATTACGTGTGTTCTATAGACTACTATCAACGACTCACTTAAGAAAGCTGGTTTACTAACTTAGAACAAAAACGCCACTGATTCGTAGTCAACAGTTACCGGCATCGTACAAACGACGTATTGACGGACTCAGGCAAAACTAACTACAGCTGCACGAGAGAATGACAGGACAACTGACAATTTGACTAAAAATAAACGACTGTTAAACTGTGACAACAGACGGATCGAAACGCACTAATGAGATTTCGAGTCTTCATAGCCAATAACTTCGCGGCTTAATTGACCAATCAGATCAATAACCAGAGTTTAATACCATCAACTGACAAGCACAAATCACTTTGATTCTGAAGATGACTAACGCACAGGTTGTCGAAACGTCAGTCACTGTCAACAACAACAGTCCTATTCAGTTGGCTATAATCATCTCATATCCAACAAGCGAAATGACTCCTGGGTTCAAACCTTTCTCAAAAAAGGGAAATCTTGGTCAGATGCTGCAAACTGACCTTTGTTCCAATTGTAGTTAACGTATATGTGATTCCAAAACTTTCTTTTTGTTAAGTTTCTTACCTCGACCACATATTCATAAAGGCAAAGACAGCTGCACAGACTTGGAACTGTAACATGAAATAGAAACATGCTTAGTTTTCTTTCCACAAAAGATTGGTGTTTTTTCCTAGTTGATTGCTGGTATATAGTGCATTTTGCTTCAACAGGGAAAAAACATTAATGTTTAGCAGGCTACTGCGACATTTTCCGCTTGTATTACCTGAGCTTGGGCGTGGTCATTAGGAAAGGCGTGAACAAGGCTTAAGTCTATAGCAACGTAAATTTGACCAACAACAACCAAAGAATACATCAAGAACAAAATGGGGAGCATAACCGATTAGGACTATCACATTCTTTTTTTTTTTTCTTCCGTCTCGAATATTTACGCGCGTTTAGTCTAATAGGTCGAAAACTGAGTATTGACAAGGTATGTTCCAACAAGAATGAAAACCTCTTTCGACTAAAGAAGGACTAACAAGCTGATCATGAGAGAGCCTCTCTAGCTTGTGCTTGTCAGGTGTACTACAATACCCGACTGCAAGATAAAACGTTTGAAAAAAACATGGCCAATTTTTACAGTTGTATCTTGTAGCGATAAAATAGTTCTGTTAGATAAAGAAACCTTGGACTTTTAGTAAAGATAAACGACTCTTACCATCTGGGTTGGTTTTCATGTCCCATTCCTGAAGTAGTTTACATGGATTTGTTAGCGTTGAGGCCTTTAAGATTCTTCCATCTGAGAGCAAAGTAAACAGCAAATCTACAAAAAAAATTCAGAAGGCACAGTAAGAAAAAGTTCTGCATTATGCCAATTATGGAATCAAAAACTAAAAATGATGTTCCCAGTATACGCAACGGAACGTAACGAAACGTAACCTGACATCACATAACGTACGGTAATGTAATGTGATGTCGCGAGTAAAAGGACAATTATAGTGCATGTCCTTTTAACATAAGATAACACTTAACAGGAATTGATCATGAAAGAGATGTACAAAACGACTTTCAACTTAAATAACAGATCAGTAGTTTCTACCTCAAAAGTAGTTTCTTTGGTTTATACAATATTACACAGTAAGTCGCATCACTCTATAACAACGAAGGAGTGCAGCGAAAACCAATCATTTCTTGCTGTCACGCATTTGTGAGTGCATGGGGGAAAACTCGCCCTATTTCAAAAGGGGGGTTGAAAATAACCATCTTGTTATAATCATGCCTTTGAAAAACAATAACTGGGAACATACTTTCGGCTGCAGCATAAGCCACATCAGCAATTATACTCATACTGGGTAACAGCATGGTCGTGATGCACTCCCCGGAGCCTGGGGACAATAGGCGAACTGCTGCGTCACTGCAAGTGCACACCAGTCTCAATGGCATGTAACGATAGCAACAAACATATAACATTGTCACCACATATTACTGCTACTGTTGTATTCAATAGAGAGGAGAAGTGTGACGTCATGTTCGGGGTTGTCGGTGAGGGCCGGTAGCCGACCAAAACCGCCGGCTAGTTAGCCATCCTTGGCCGGCTACTTTCATCTCCTTCTACCACCACATTTATAACCGCTAGCAAAAATTAAGCACCATCGAACAAAAATTGTAAAGAATTCGATTCCTAGTTTTGAATGACATTTAACTCGTTTTTAAACAGGTTTAGATCTGTGAAACGTTCGAACCGGACGATGTCGTGGAACGCCTAGGACATTTCGACGGCATTGTTCCTAGTCCTTCGTGAATTCTGACGAAACAACATGGCGTCCACGGTGGAAATACCTCTTGAAAACCCCTGCAAACGCCATTTCCGAGACTCCAAATTTCAAAATGTCCCTAGATGCTTCGGCCCCTCAAGAACTTGTGCTTTTGGTGGTGCGAGTTCCAAAGTCGCCTACTATTCATTATCAGCCTGCTACTTAGAACCTTTTTGACAGCCCTGTATGTTACCACAGTAGCATGAGACGGCCATTTGCATTGCGGAACGATGTATGGGCTACCGATTTGTCCCTGAGCACAGTCAGTTTTTTCCCGTTTGTTTTTTTTTTTTCCACCGTATTTGCTGGACTACGGTTTGTTGAGACCTAGAGTTTTTTTCTACATTGGCGGAGAATAGTGATGAAAGAGCTGGAGGAGTTGGGTTTAGACTTGCCACAAGTTGACTGGGTGAGCGCCGAAGGAGTGAGGGACGCTCGCGACGTGAGGGAAAGCGAGCGATCCCCCTACATGTCACTAGTAGAAACCGGAAACGGGCTTTGACAAAGTCCAGCGTTGGGTATAACATGGGGCGAAGTGGAAGCCAAAGCTCAGGATAGGGTCGAGTGGCGACGTTGTTTGATTGCAGCCCAGCTGGGATGAACAGTTTAGTGACTGAGAGTGAGTTTCAAAACTTATGGGTACCACGTTCCCCTAACTACCGTGTCACATTCCCATTTCGACCATGCCACGTTTCCATATCCACAGTGGTACATGTACAGTGTATGCTCCATTTGGAGCCTGAGACTTTGCTTGCGTGAGTCTTCTACAAACCAGGGGCACGTATCTGCGCAAACTTAGTTTAAGAGTCTGCGGAACTGGTTTATCCTTGATTAAAACCTTTACTAAAAATACATGTATCGCAGACCCTTGCGAAGCTAGTGAGGAGGCCTATTAATTGTTAGGGATGGGAGGGCGGGAGAGAACTGGTCTGGAGTAAAGGTTTTTTGATGAAGAAATACTTGTATTCATGTACTTACTCTTGGATGTGTCGTAGTTTTGATGGACTTTACTTTGCTCCTACAAAGGAAATGGAAGTTAGCCATAAGACAGTGGCATTTGCATCATTACTTTTAGGCCTGATAGTCTGTAAAAAATTCATGTTCAAGTTCAAAAATGAAAGAAAAAACACTCCTTTACTATTTGAATTTGTTGTGTTATTTATACCTGCTTCGTACAAAAAATGACAGTCACCTACTTACCCAATGGCTGCAAAGACGCTATGAATATGCTCAATTCTCCACAACTCAATCGATTTACTTCCAAACGAATACAAGTCATTTTTTCCTACAATTGTTCCCAATCCAAAGACGGGTTCCTTGGTGCTTATGCGATCCACTTCATCAGCAGTATCCAAACTCCAGACTCTGATGGTACAGTCGCTTGATCCTGACATGATGTACGTACCAAACGGGTAAACTGCTAGAGTGTTAACTGATTTTAAATGCCCGACAAAGATGATTTTGATGTTCCCTTTGTCATCCCAGACTTTTATCGTCCCATCCTTTGCCCCGGTTACAAGGTACTAAAAGAGAAGGTAAATAAGCGTAATTGTTAAACACTGAATCATTGGATAATGCACTTCTGGATCTCTAACTGGCTTAGCCATCATGGTTTATGAGCCATTACACTATGCTCTCTGAAAATGGTAACTATATGCATCTGCTCAAAATTAAAAACAAGCTGAAAGTCGGTTGTTTTTACAAATAAAGTCGGAAAGAATTCTTGATATTTTATGGGCATTTTTAGTAAAACAAGTATTTCACTTGCGCTTGTTGGATATGAGATGATTATAGCCAACTCAAATCCAAACCACACTCGTGGAACAATAAATGTTGAATATGACTTACATTTACTCTTGGGTTTATTAAATACTGGAATTAATGCCTGGACATAGTCTGAAATGTCATCCATCTCCACTCCCTAGCCTGTGGGGGGCACAGGGCATGCCCCCATGGGTTAGGGGGTGGAGACGGATGACATTCCAGACTACCTATGGCACTTCTTGCACTTTTACAAAATACCTGATACATTTTGTCAGTTAAATATAAATTTTTAAGTATTCTTATAGCTCCTTACTGGTATATACATTAGCAAGAAAGTGACAAACAATACATTACCTTCAGTGGATTGAAGAACAGGGCAGTGGTTATTTCTCGGGGATGCAGCTCTTTAAGGTGACCCTCACAGGAGCCATTCAGGAGGTTGTAAACGATCACATCATTGTGATTAACTGCAAAACATCGTTGAGATCTGCTGGGTGTGTCTTCTAAACACAGGATTGAAATAATGCTGGTTGCTGGCAAACATTCCTTGGAAAATTATAAGCAAAAGAAAAGAATTTGAACATTTTGTTGTTACCTTAATGTCAGTAACAAAGTTCAGGACCTATGCTGCACTTTAATAACTGTAACTCTACATGCATGGCAGGCTAGATTTCTGTCGCTTTTTCGGATTTGGTCTCACTTGTTCTTTTCTTGGGGTGGAAAGTAGGTTCAATTTGCTAATTAAGACTGCAGCTGGTATCTGAGCCTCCAAGAAGGGATTTTGGATTATATGACCTAACTGAAAACACTTAACCTTGCAGAATGTAAACAACATGATTGTGTTATGAGGATTATAATTTATAGTTAGAAGAAGGCACTTTGATTGAGTTGTATTTTTCTTAGCTTAACCATTTGATAGTAAGGTATTGGTTAGCTTAGGTTTATTATCTAAGGTTTGATAAATTAGCTCATGAATAAATTTCTCAGGGAAGAGGAAGCCAAAAAGGTGCAAAATTGGTAGACACGTTGCAATCAAAACACTCACTCACAAAACTTTCCGCTGAAGTAGAAACTTTGCCCCATAATCTAAAGCTCCAGCACTGAAATAAATAAATAAATGTCAAATAAGAAAGAAAACAGGATTGGGCAACACTAATGAGTTGTTTGGCCTTCTGATAAATAAATTAACATCATGTACATTAAGTGAACAATTAACTGCTGCAATGGGAAACTGTGTTACAGTAAAATTTCAAAAAAGTACTCACGGTCATATTTCCAACTCCTCCAGTTATGATCTCATTTGTTGTCTCATTATACACACCACTGATGAAAGATACAGTAAAAATTATCACACTCAGTTGTTTAGACATGTATTCTAGCTTACATTTACATCAAAATGTAAACACATAACTCAATTAATATGCAATTATTCAAAAGATAACGGCTCACCAGCCATTAACAGTTTCTAGAACCACTAACTTATTTGCACCTTGCGTTTTAAACTTGATAAAAATATTGAAAACTTTAACTGCTCATCTATTTTTTTTTTCTTGAAAAAATAAAAAAAAATTAAAATAATAATAATAATAAAAGAATATTATAGTGCCTGGACCTCCCTGAATATTCTACTAAGAGAGGTTGCCATGCTGACAAGTTTAAAGCCATCTGACAGTAACTGCAGATGGTAGAAAAAATATTAACGGTGAAATACCATTCAAAGAATTTGTACATGTACAAACTAACTAAGATACAGATGTTAAAAGATGCAGTTTATGCACTAGAAATGAGACAGCTACTTCTCTCTGAAGACCTTCATGCTTTGAAACTACATGCAATGCACCTTATTCATAATCACTTCTGTTACCCACTGATTACCCTGATTATACTACCACCTCTCGCTGCTCCTTGTCACTGTGGACATTTCATGACAGGTATGTCTTCATTTTTACCCCAGAATTCCATACTGATGGTATAAAGCAAATATTACGTAATTAATCTTTGTTTGTGTGGTTCCAGATGCAGATTTTTTTAAGCCTCTATTTTTCCTTGTTGTGCTGCAAATTTAACCACAGCAAAACTGAATTACTTCTTGAAAGCAACTATTATATTCCTAGGAAATAAAATGTTTGTTAATAGATTCAGTGCCTTGTACATTTGATCTTCACAACCTTTCATCTTCAGTCTGTCAAAAGGAAACAATAGCTGAAAGATTATAATACAATCATACCCCATTAATACAGACACTGAGGGGGCCATAGAATGTGTCCGTATTTACAGAGTGTTGTATTAAGAGGGTTAAATATTTTAGAGAAAATTAGGGGGCTTTCCCTCCCAACGAACAAAGCAAACTGTCCATAATAATGAGGTGTCTGTATTAACCAGGTGTCTGTAAAGTGGGATTAATTTTGACTGTAACTTTGACGACTAATCAGAGCTTCTGACCAGATTCTGGGCAGAGTTATGTCATCAGTATGGAATTTTTGGACTAAAATGCAGCCATCTCTCAGACTGCACATTATGACCCTGAGCAATGGTTTTGCTAAGGTCGGTTGCCATCTGTTAGATGTGCTCATGCAGTGCACAACCCCTATCAGAGGTGGCAATACAGAGTGACCTCGGGTTATTGCAAACACTCTAGGACCACCAAAATCTGTCGGTCATGTTGAAACGCAGACCATGCAGACTGCAGACTGCAGACTCAGTGCAGACTGTGCAGACTGAGTGTTATTTTTTTTACTTGTACCTTTATAATTTTCTAGTAAAACTTTTACTATAGTTTCCTGCAGGAGCGAGCATCGATGGTTGGAAGAAGGTGAGCTGTTTCTTTCTGTAACTGTATTATATTGCCACAATTATTTAAATTTTTTTTAGTAGAAGAAGCTTTTTCAGGTTAGGTGAGTTAAAATAAAACCCTTTTCGGCTTCCTCCAACGGCTATGAGAGACATTTCCTAAATTCCTTGATTGTTGATGATCGTCTTTGGTTTCACTCTGTAATTCAAACCGGTGACTTGCTGTCATTTCTTCTAATCTTACAGATACTGATGTCATCGTTGTTAGCTTGGAAGATTTGGGTAAGACTTTTGTTTATGTATTTTTATCATTTGATTCCCAAGAGTGTCCTTCTTGGCGGGTTTTCACTCGGGGATCGACAATTGTATTTGCTCCATGCATTCGCGCCAGTAAGTGGTAGTGGTTTGAAACCGACAATCTTGTTTGAGTATTGTCTGGTTCTTGCTTATGCAGCTCCAAAACTAAATAGTTCATTAGTAACAAACATATTATTTGTACAACTCGAAGATGTGGAGCGGGTTTGAATGCGCGTTGAACTAGATCCCCTGCCGTGTATTTTAGGTGTATTTTGTCTTAATTTTCATTGAATATTACCTGTGAGAAGTTTTAAGTCGCTGCCCTTCTTCTATTAAGTCACTTAAGCTGAAAAAGCTTCTTCTAATAAAAATATTTAAATGATCATGGCAATATAAAACAGTTACAGAAAGAAACAGCTTACCTTCACGGCCATCGTGCTCGCTCCTGTGGGAAACTATAGTAAAACTTTTACTACAAAATAAAGGTACAAGTAACAAAAATAACACTCAGTCTGCACAGTCTACAGTCTGCATGGTCTGCGTTTCAACATGACCGAAAATCTGTAGTAATGAGGTGGCTGTATTAAAATGAGCCTTCAATGTAAGGATCGAGACGACCTTGGCTGAATGAATGTGGTCATTATAGTTACATGATGGTCATATGAACAGGTGCCGTAAGGCTTGGCTCCATTGTACATCTTTTGAATTATGTTTAATTAAAGACCCCCTGGTAAAGCATTAAATAACTTACTCTGATGTTTTCATCAAGTCCCCAGGCAGCATAGAATCTAGTTTTCTTAGCATACACTATTCCGCAAATGGGACCTTTGAGGATGTTGGAGTCGACGGGTTCCGTATAACCAGTTGCCAAATATACCGAAGCGTTTCCCTCTCTGTCAATTCCAACAAAGTTATTATTAAGAGAATTGAAAGCCACAAAGGCGATTTCTTCTTCAGACGCCAAAGATTGCACCGGATGAACACCATGTCCCACATTCAAAGCCTGTTTCTCATCGAGTTTCTTCGGGTCATCGCCGTGTTCTTGTTTTATCGCGGATTTGATTAGTTTCCAATGCGAGCTAACTTTTAAGTCTGATTCGTCAAGCACGGGTCGTTTCGTCCGTGTTTCGATGAGTTGCATAAGTTTGCTAGCCATATTAAAAAGTGCTTTTGAGTTACAGATTCCGTAGTCGTCTGCGAGATGAGATTTCCCTCCCGCGATGAGCAAAATTACCTCGATATTAATAATTTAGCCATTCCAATCTTGTGCCGATTTCACCTTATCTGTTATTCCACATTACTTTTTCACGGCAACAATAATAATCCACATAATTCGATTGATAATAAAGTCACAGATGAACTCGTTAAGAAAGTCACAAAAGCCATATTCAAGATCGCAACTTTTGTTTGGTTTCTATGACAACATTTGTCAACTGCCGTAACTTATGCATTTTACATAAGCAAAAATATGATTTTGTGTGAATCCGCTGACAAGAAAAACTCTGTTTCATTCCTTTGATTTTCGCTTATTAGTTACTTTCTCTTTTTCTGTGATGCCAAACCGAAATCTTCCTGAACTAGATAAAGAGTATGATCTGCGAGTAACTGGAGCATTCAAGATCGGTCGATCTCCGCTTTGTAAGCGACAGTCATGTTAGCAAAGTTCACTGTAGTTTGAAAGTCTGCAACCAGACTGAGCTTGATTTGAGGTAAAGTTCCGTGTGTGTGTATGTATGTGTGTGCTGGAATGGTGTTTTGGTTTGTTTTATTTATGTAAAGTAAAAAAGGATTTTATTTTGTCGGCCTTAATAATCGCGGACAATTTAACAGCATATAATAAGTAACAAAGAATTGGTGTTACTTCCGGGTGCCTAGAAAACGACGACCTAGAAAAAAACCTGCGGGGAGAGGGGGGGGGGGGCTTAATAGAAGTGCCCCATCCGCGGACAAAACCAAAAAAGCATATTCATAGCCAATCTCAATCTTATTAAACGTGCCAAACCCCACGCAAATCGCTCCTAGCCGCTAGTTACCCGGGGCTAGTTATAAGTAATGCTAAGGTCAATAGGTCTAATTTGCACGTGCAGCACACTTTTTTGCACATCGTAGTACGTGCGGACGATTCTCTCAGAACCAAAATTTCTTGGGTGCATTTTGGGTGTTTTCCATCCCAAAACTTAAGGTGGCTCGACTGGATTTTTTGGGGGGGATACCTCCCAAGTTTGAGTATTAACTACGTCGCCATGAGTGAAGATATGAGAAAAAGATTACCACAACTGTATTATATAAAGATGAAAATTTCTTATGATCTGGGTTTTATTGCAATCGGAGTCACCATGGCTACGTAACAACGCCATTATGTTTTTTATTTATCTTCGTGTTTCTCTGTACCGGGAGTTTTTTTAAGAAATCGCTTAAGGGAGTGTGTACCTACCATAATTGCCTCAATTATGTCAAAGTTTGAACAAATTGTATGAGAGCGTTTTCGAAATATTTTGAAACGAAGTTTTAAGCATCATAAAAACAGTGAAATAGCGTGCTATCCACACAATTAGCTAATTTTTTAAGAAAATGATAAGCTTCGGAAACGCGGCTTCATCTTATAGTGGTTTGATTCCATTGAAAACTGCGTACAGGAAAAGAGGGGAATTGCTCTGGGCGATCGCGAGTAAGAAGAATTTTATTAACTTGTATTCAGCTGCTTTTGTTACAGTTTTTGCACGTAATTTGGTCCATGCCTACAAATTTCGCATTTTTCAAAAAACCGCTCGATAAATTTTTTTATAAATTTGACAATCCCGAGATCAATTGCCAATAAATATACCCTGCAAGTTTCAAGAACATTGAAAACAGAGAAGGCTTTTAAATAGGGCCTCAAATATAACCAATTTTTCCTCCAGGTTTTGTGTTTACAAGTGAGCGCCCTCATTATTCACTGGCATTGTTTCCAAGTTTCATATGCACGTGCACATTTCGCAAAAAGAAATAAATTTGCATCAAAAGGAACTCTCGATTACTTTCGGAAGAAATATCCGGAATGTGCTAATAATTGGCTTGTGTCACAGATATCAGTGAGAGCCGAGACGGTGAACGTCGCGGCTCATCGTGTAGGATGCAATACTTAGTTATCTTACTCGGGTTATAACATCACAGAAACTCTTACAAAGAGTCCCTGTGATGTTAAAATATATCACTAATTTCTTTACCCGGTTATTAGCATATTCGGGAGATTTAACCGAGGGTCCTTTTTGATGCAAATTCTATCTTTTTGCGAAATGTGCACGTGCATATGAAACTTGGAAACAATGCCAGTGAATAATGAGGACGCTCACTTGTAAACACAAAATCTGTGGGGGAAATTGGTTATATTTGAGGCCCTATTTAAAAGCCTTCTCTGTTTTCAATGTTCTTAAAACTTGCAGGGAATATTTATAGGCGATTGATCTCGCGATTGTCAAATTTATAAAAAAAATTATCGAGCGGTTTTTTGAAAAATGCGAAATTTGTAGGCATGGACCAAATTACGTGCAAAAACTGTAACAAAAGCAGCTGAATGCAAGTTACTAAAATTCTTCTTACTCGCGATCGCCCAGAGCAATTCTCCTCCTTTTTTGCACGCAGTTTTCAATGGAATCAAACCACTATAAGATGAAGCCGCGTTTCCCCAGTTCATCATTTTCTTAAAAATTTAGCTAATTGTGTGGATAGCATGCTATTTCACTGTTTTTATGATGCTTAAAACTTCGTTTCAAAATATCTCAAAAACGCTCTCATAGAATTTGTTCAAACTTTCCCATAAATGAGGCAATTATGGCAGGTACAAACTCCCTTAAGCGATTTCTTTAAAAAACTCCCGGTACTGAGAAACACAAAGGTAAATAAAAAACGTAATGGCGTCGTTACGTTGCTATGGCGACTCCGATTGCAATAAAACCCAGATCATAAGAAATTTTCATCTTTATAAAATACAGTTGTGGTAATCTTTTTCCCATATCTTTACTCATGGCGACATAGTTAATGCTCAATCTTGGGAGGTATCCCCCCAAAACAATCCAGTCGAGCCACCTTAAGAAACTTTGGAAACAGCGGCAATTGGTACAGTATTTTCCCGGAAAAGTTCCCAGACTTCCGAAAACTTTTCCGAAATGCGAACCATCCAACCAGAAATTTTAGACACTCGGGAGCAAAAGTTCAATGCGGAAAGAAAACTTCCCGATGATAATTTTCGAAAATTTGGGTATAAATTGCGAAAATGCCGTTCCATTCGGTACTGCATGGAAGTTGCCGAAAATTTAAACCAGACGTTTTGATTGAATGGAGTGGCGCCCATGCAAAGGTAACCGCGCGCGTGAGAGCTCAACTAAAAAAGTTTCTCAAGTCAAATTTTCCTTTAGTATGGTCAATGAAGTCATGATTCAACCTGACTGACTACTGGAAGCAAAAGCTTTGCTTTGACCTATTTATTATCCTGATAACAATTTAAACAAATTTCCATCAAATCTAAATGACCTAAATAATATACACTGCCTCACTGGCTCGTCTTTTATAGCGGGAAGTTCAAGCCCACATAAATCAAACAGGAAATAAATCAGGCGTGCCGTTTTTGTTCACAGCTCAACACCGTAAACAAACAGTTTATATTTTGAAAAAAAAGAAAGAAGGGCTTCAACATTTTCTCATACCTTTCCATACATGAAACGGCAGGATACCGGTAACGAGAATTGTGAAATATTGTGTAGGACACAATGAAGGTTGACATGTCATCAGATTTGAACTGTATTTGAACTGTAAGATTTAAATCGTATCATCCTAGGAGTTTCTGTTTCCTCAAAGGTCCGATAGCGTGGTACATATGCAGTGAGATCTCCGGGAGAACTTTTGAATTGTTCACAAATAAATTATTACATCATGTGAAATAGAGACAACGCCGCAGAGCAAAATCAAAAATTTCACTTCGGTTCACCTTTAATTCTTTACTTTCACGCAATGCACAATGCAATGTCCAAGACAAAACGATATATAGCTCTTGCGACCACACTAGCCACTCTGTAACTGCTGTTTAAAAATGTGAGAGACGGTTTTATAAACCGCGTTATGAAAATAACGCAAGAACAGTAGATGTAGGTATCTCGCGGGGTACATGTAACGAAGGTTTACGTTAATCAATAAATCAATCGAGCTTTTCCGCCTAAACGTGAAAATTTCCCAAATTTTGACTTTTAGAAATACTTCGTTCCCCAAACCTCCTTTTATACACACACTCCGGAATCGCTCATGAAACTAACCCGATATACTTTTAATCAGTAAACACCAAGAGAGGTTATCCTCTCTTGTAAACACTTTATTGGCCACCACCTCAGCCAGTTCTAGAGGGGGAGGTTGTTTCCTTAGGAACTGGTTAGCTCAAATGATCACCAAGCTTTAATAATTATTCGATCTAAAAGAAATACATTTATAATTCGCAATCAGAACAAACACAAATCGTCTTAATCTCGTAGCCAAATTCAGAAAACTTCAATGTAAACTTACTTGTGTGGCGGGTCGTTACAACAATCGCACTTTACAGGTTAGAAAATTCTTTTAACAGATTCTTCTTTAGGTAAGCGGATTTATAGACAGACTGTAAATTATTTTCTTTCTCACTTCGATTCTACTAAAAAACTGGTTGGAAACACAACAAGCTAATACAATTCTTGTCATCAAATAAATCTATCCAATAGCAGGCAACGCTTGTTTGATAAACGAAACAGAGGGGAGACCTCGCGTACCTTGCATTTCCACCGTTATATTCCTTGGCTTACCCTTAGCCGTTTTTTTACAAATAATATTTACTATTTTTCTGTAATTTTCCTTCTTCGCCCACCTCTCACCCCTTCATAATTCCCTCCTATCGTCCTCTTATTTCCCGCCTTCTGTACCCCTCTAACCCCTTAATCCTTCGAGCTACCCCATCCCTGCCGTCGTTTTCCAGGTCATCGTTTTCTAGGTCGTCGTTTTCTAGGTTATCGTTTTCTAGGTCGTTGTTTTCTAGGTCGTCGTTTTCTATGTCGTTGTTTTCTAGGTCGTTGTTTTCTAGGTCATCTTTTTCTAGGTCGTTGTTTTCTAGGTCATCTTTTTCTAGGTCGTTGTTTTCTAGGTCGTCGTTTTCTAGGTCATCTTTTTCTAGGTCGTTGTTTTCTAGGTCGTCTTTTTCTAGGTCGTTGTTTTCTAGGTCGTCGTTTTCTAGGTCATCTTTTTCTAGGTCGTTGTTTTCTAGGTCGTTGTTTTCTAGGTCGTTGTTTTCTAGGTCGTTGTTTTCTAGGTCGTCGTTTTCTAGGTCGTTGTTTTCTAGGTCATCTTTTTCTAGGTCGTTGTTTTCTAGGTCATCTTTTTCTAGGTCGTTGTTTTCTAGGTCGTCGTTTTCTAGGTCATCTTTTTCTAGGTCGTTGTTTTCTAGGTCGTTGTTTTCCAGGTCGTTGTTTTCTAGGTCGTTGTTTTCTAGGTCGTCGTTTTCTATGTCGTTGTTTTCTAGGTCGTTGTTTTCTAGGTCATCTTTTTCTAGGTCGTTGTTTTCTAGGTCGTCGTTTTCTAGGTCGTTGTTTTCTAGGTCGTCGTTTTCTAGGTTATCGTTTTCTAGGTCGTTGTTTTCTAGGTCGTCGTTTTCTAGGTCGTCGTTTTCTAGACACCCGTTTCTTCCGGTTTACAATTGACACCCTGAATGCAAGTAGCCAGCTCTGAGATGACGTTATTTGATTGCAATTATCATGTACCAGAGCTCAATTTTTGTTTCGTAAAGCACATTCAAGATAAGCATGAGAAAACTGCTGACATTTCACAATGCCACCACAACAATGCAGAAATTCCTTACTGAAGATGTGTCACTTCCCAGTGCTTTTGATTGGCTAAAATTTGCTTCATCCAATGAGAAGCACTACGCAGATCAGCGAAGAGATGTGTCATCAGCATGGAATCTCTGTGCTCCTTCCTCAGACGACATTTTTGCAGAGAAACCAGTGTTGGCATCGTGACATGTCACCTGTTTTCTCCCGTCAATTCAAGATAGCTATAACCTGAATTTGTATTTTTAAAAAGCTGCAAAATTTTACAAGTGTTTTGTTTGGTGGGCTGAGGAGAGTTCCAGCATACAAACATTTGAAAAGCATCTGTAAATATTTGTGACTTTGCAGAACTGAAACACTTTCAAATTTTGAGGGTCATTACTTATTCCTAGGTGCTTATTTCACAGTGTTGATCTATGTATAATTATTCCCTAACGGGTCCCCGAAAAGAGTTTAAAAATAATGGAATGATATATTGTAATGATTCTGTTACTCTAATCTATCATATTTTTGTGTTGCAATATTACTGCTGATTAATAAGTGAAGCCCACTCAGGGTGCAAAGAAAGTCATTTTTACAGCTTGCCATTCGGGCAAGCTGAAGCTAGCATTTACTAGCCCAAATGTCATTACAACTAGCCCCCAAAATTTTTTGATGAGCAGAAAATTGATTTCACAGTTCTTCTGTAAGTTGAATTCCTCAAAATACTTCACTTGCCCATCGGGCAAGTTAAGAACAGAATTCACTAGCCCGATAGCAAAATCCACTATCCCCGGGCTATCAGACACTACTTTCTTTGCACGCTGCCCACTTTACTTTCAACAAAGAGGGTAGCTCAGGTGGTACTATCTGATCTCTGAAGTGTCATCCTATTGCCCAATGATGCAATCATCTGAACTGAGGCCAGGCCTTAATCACAGCCAGTTTAAACTTACCCTTTGATGAAATGACTCTGGGTGATTGTCAGACTAAATTGGTGGGAAGAACCTTGTGGTTTTGCTGATAAGATTATTGACATTAAGTAAAGCTAACTGTCAGTATAATTTAATTGAGATTTTAGAAAGGTTCCAGTTTCACTTCAAATCTCGTGCTCTTGCTAATTTTTATTAAAATGTGAATAGTTTTATTTTTTTGGCAATTATTGTCCAAGAGTGAAAGTCTTTATTACAGACCACAGCTCAAATGGGACCTGGATTGTCTCTGAAACTAGCAATGAAAACACAAGACTACAGAAGGAAATGCCCACTCAACTGAACGAAGCTTAAAGGAGACCTTATTTTGCTGACTCGTTCCACTGATACAAACCATGATGTCATTGCCTATAAAGTATTTTCAGTCTTCATTCCCACGAGTTATGAAAAGCATTAACAGACCAACAGGCTACTTAATTCAAAGAACTGAGGATTTGTATCAGTGTAAGGAAATAGACGTCTGTGAGGAAACAGAAAAACCTATTGCAAGTGTAAAGGAGGATCATAGTGAGTCAGAAGCTGTGGTTTTAAACAAGACTCTGACTGAAGAGTGTTTCCATAATGATAAACCTTTGAACAAGAAATGTATGGAATCTGGCAATCTCAAAGATACACGCAAAGGCATCGATATTCATTCACAGCACTTGGGAGGTTTAAACAATAATGGAACTGTAGGAAACACAACTACTACTTACAAACCAGCCCATTTAGATCAAAGCGTTTCAAGTCCAAAACAAGATGACAACAAGTCTCCCAATTTAAAAAGGAAAAGCGAATCTGGTGACGACATTGTTTGGACGAGGAAGGTGAGGTTTAAGGAGCAAATGGAAGAGCATTTTGCGCAACCAGAATCTTACATTGGAAGCCCTTTTAAAAATGGAGAAAAGTGCATGAATATTGAACATCGTAGCAGTGCAAGTGGTTCCAATGGATTAGCAAATGACTTTAAAAGTGGAGACAATTGCATGGAAAACCTTGAAAACCATGTGGAAGACATAATTGCTGGCCATAGAGATAGTTATATTGGTTTCGATGTCATTGGCAAAGGGAGTTCTACTCCGCTCACAACCTCCCCACAAAAATCTTTTACCAGTGATAATGGAATACAGAAAGTATGTGCGAAAGATGAAGTCAAACTCTGTGCCACCAACACTTCATTGACAATGAAAGGGACAAGCCACTGTGACCAGTTACCTTCTGAAAACCCATCAGAGTCAGGAAAAGAGAAACACGATTCTCCGTTTGCAGATGGCATTCCCATCTTGTTCCCAGCGTCCTCTCCCACTCGGCCCCATGGGAACGAGGTTGATGACATTCTATATGGTAATTGCGTTCAGTCTGGTAAGCGCATACCACAAGTTACCATTTCCTTGCATGAGGCAGTTTGTGAAGGCCTCAGTCAGAAGGCTAAAAGTCAAGATCGTGTGTCAGTAATATCAACGCTTCAACTTGAAAGTTGTTTGCCTGGACGGAGACCATGTGAGGATTTGCGATGCTCGAAACGCTCAGGGAAAGGAAGACAGTGGTGTTCAAGACGACATTGAATGCATTGAGGAAAACGAGCAGCTGAATGCGACAAATGGGCAAACAGATAACAAAAGTGATAATCCTGACGGAAAAGTGAGTGAAGTAAGAGAGGAGAGCGGTAGTGAAACTTATAGATCTTTTCCACGCACCTGTGAGTCTAAAGAGGAGTTAGGTAATTGTGTTGGGTCTAGGATCAATGGCAAACGTGCTGATACAAGCTGCACATCCGCAAACATCGAAGGAAATATCGAAGAAACATTTTCAGGCTCAACAGAGCAGAATAAGCACAAGGGGTCCCTTGAAAGCGGCCCTGTATTAGTTTCACTTGATCGAAGTCAACCCACACTTGAGAAAGAAGAATCCAAAGAAAGATGAACGTTCTGCATCAAAAAGGATGTGGCGGTGGTCGCTATTAACCTATCCAAAGCATGTGACTCGGTTTGCCATAATTTATTACTAGCAAAACTGAAAGCTTACAGCGTTCACGATTCGGCTATAAAACTTATTCAGTCATATCCCTCAGGCCGCTTTCAACGAGTAAAATGTAACGGGAAGGTGTCAGACTGGCTGCCTCTTCGCTGTGGAGTGCCGCAAGGGAGCCTTCTAGGTCCGCTTTTTTAATATCTTTGTGAATGATGTTAATTACTCAGCTGGATCTTCCTCCCTAGGTCTGTATTCTGATGACAAAACGCAAGATATAGCCTATAAGAGCCCCTGCACACTAGAATCAACATTGAATCAAGATATAGAGAGATTAACCCTCAGGTTCACTGGGAATTACCAGAAAGTAAACGCTACTAAAACTCAGGCAATGACACTGGGGAAATCTCAGTACCCATATAATCTTTTTATTGGTGATAAGTCCATCGAAATTGAACCAACTCTCAAGATTCTTGGCGTTACATTGGATCGGGATTTGTCTTTCAAGCCCCACGTGGCACGCAATCATGCTGAATAAAGCATATGCTAAGATAGCTGCACTACGGAAGATGAAGCGCTTAGTTCCTTCGGACGTTATGATTTCCCTTTATAAAGCTTACGTGTTACCGCATTTAGAATACTGTTGCCCACTACTTCTGGGCATATCTAAAGTCTTGAAAAATAACATCGAACGTACCAATCATTATGCGATCAAGACATTACTGAATTTAGGTAATTCGGCTATCTATGACTTTTGCCTAGCAATGACCGATATGGACAAGCTTGAGCAAAGACGTACCCTGCAATCGCTTATTCTATTTTTTAAATGTTTTAACCTAGATGGCCCAAATCATATTTCCCAATTTTTTACACCTCGGTTAACTAAATACAATCTACGAGACAGTGCCTTAAATGTTGTGCAGCCTCCATATTACAGCCTTGTCATGCACAACTCCTATTTATACATGATAGCCCAGACATGGAATCAACTAGCAAATGTCACCAAATCCTTGAGCACTTTAACACAATTTCGCGCTCGCCTGAATAATGTCAATTTCACAGGGTGCCAGTGCATGAAATTCATGTGACTTTGTCTATTTTTACATTTTTACGCACTCTTGGGCGAGTTTATATATATGTTGCAGTTAATTTTTTATCTCAGGTAATTTTTGTTTTTCTTTTGTTTTTGGGTATGGTAATGTATGCTAATGAAGTTGAAACAAAAGAAAAATAGAAATTACCTGAGATAAATTAAGTACAACATATATATATATATATATATATATAATTATATATAATTATATTTTTTAATATTTTAATCAGTTTATAACAATTAGTCCGTTTTAAACTATTTTTTTCCAGTTTCTTAAAAAATTTTCCCAAAATTACGATGTTTTTAGCTTTTTCTATTTCCTGCACCAACTCATGATCCACGTTTCAACTTGCTTTAAGACTAGCGCCATGGCAAGTACCGATTCAGAGGACCCAGACGGTGTGAAAGAAGCCTGTCCTTATTGCGCAAATTACCTTGATGTTTTAGCTCTTGTGGAACATGTTGACCAATGTAAGAACCTGTCAATGATAAAGGCTCTTGAAATATCGCGGGAAGATTGCTCCCAATCTTCTCCCTCTGGCCCGGACTCCGATTGTGCGTCCAGAAGCGAGGACGATTCTCCGATGGGGGATAAAGAGCTCTGTCCAAAATGCCAGGGAGAGTTTAGCGTGTTAGAACTATTAAGCCATGCTGATAAATGTCTAGGGGAAGTGCGCAAAACTGGTTCTGGCTTAGAATCTCAGCGAACAGATATTCGGGAACATATTAATAGTGACGATGTTCTTCATCGAGAAAGCGAAAGTGAGAAAGGTGTCGGGGATTGTCCGTATCGTGAGGGCAAAAGTATTGTAAACCATAGGTCTATTGAAGAAGTCTGTGATAAGAAAAACTGCGACAGTTTTGTAATCACCAGACCAGATAATGAAGGTATCGACGAAGACGGTTCTAAGCTTATTAAAGGCGGAGATGATGAAGATAGAGCTTATAGTGATGAAGTTAGACTCGTAGAAGAGGATGATGACATCACACATGGTGATGATGTCGGTGGTGAAGACACCTGTAGAGATGGGAAGGATAAAACTGAAGATGGAGATGATACTGATGACTTCGCTCGCGGTCACCATGACGTCCGTCTCGGTGACGACGAAAGCAGTGCCTACATAGACGACGAATTTGTTTCCTCTGAGGATCCTTCGAGTGATGGTGAACTTCTCCTCGCAATGGAAACCAGCGAAGATGACGCTGATCTTGATCAATTTGAAATCTGCCCGAAGTGTCGTAATCTATTTCATCTGTCTTTGTTGGTCGAACATGCAGCTAAATGTAGCGTAGTTTCACTAGACGTGCAAACAACCGGGGAAACAAAGACAGAACTTTCAAACTCAACCACCCCATCTGAGTCCCCAACAGCAGCTCCAATTGTTTTCAGTGACTGCAGCGTCTGTGGAATACGGTTGCCCGTTCACATGATGGGTATTCATTATCCCAGGTGTAATACGCTCCGTGCGTCAAAGAAGGCGAGCGAATGCTCCAGCCAGTCTCCTGAAAGTGACCCTGCAGATTTTCCGGGGCATGCAGGTGTCCGCATAGACAATCTAAGCAGCAGAGTAACGGTGGAGGATAAAAAGGATGAGGCACACCCAGGATGTAAATCCGGAGAATGGCCATCATCATTTGTGACTAAAGTGATTAGCTCTACCGGTAGTAGCGAGAGAGAGGCAGATAAATTAGAAGGAATTAGTTTAAAAAGAACTTTTTCCTCGCTGGATTCATATCACGACTGCGAAGAACAGTGCATCTACTGCTTTAAAATGTTTGCTGTGAACGTTCTTGTAGAACATGTGGAAGCCTGTGCATCGCGCAATAAGGTAAGATATTTTTATTTCCCTGAAATATTGATATCTAAAACATGCCAGTGGATAGTGCTTGTTGTGGCCATTAGAGTATCGGACTTGTAATTCGGAGGTCCAAGTAGTACGCATAGCTGACCGCGAGATCCCTACGTGGAGGTCTTTCTTGGCAGTTGTTATTGCAAGTTCAGCGTCTTCGCCATTTGTGTAAATAGCCTATCGGTGTGCCTCCTCTTGTAGGTGTAGCTGTTAACCTTCAGGCGTTGCCCTGGATTTTGCAGCATAATTTTTACCGACATTTTTTGAGAGACAGCGTGGCCGAGTAGTCAGCGCATCGGACTCCCAATTCGGCGGTATCGTGTTCGAGTTCTGTCCCCCGAATTCAAGTCATTCGGCCACGCTTGTAAATAGCTAACTCAGTTTGCCTCCTTTCTCTTGGGGATTTTTCTTCTATTTTCGATTAATTTGGATTATTTGTTTATAATTATTTGGGTGGGGTGCCTGTAAGTTAGCTTTGAAGCTAAGTGCACTTTCGCTATAAATAAATCTTTACCTTTTTACCTTTTGTCAAAACTAGGCGAAGCTGGCTATTGGTTTAAGACGAGCAGCAAAAGATTAAAACGTCGTGATTCTCAGCCAAATGAACGTAGGAAGTCGCGCCAAAATACCATTACCATATTTTCTTTTCTATATACCATATTCCGAATAAATTAAAGAACATACATGGTGAGAAAAATTTTGGTTTTTACGAAACAGCTTTCTCTTTAATACAATTAACAGCCAAGTATCGAACTTTCGCAGGCTTCATCCACAGAGGAGCTGGAGCAGTGTTGTTATTGTCTACAGACGTTTCCGTTAAGCGAGCTTATCAACCATGCACAGAACTGTGATCAAAAAGAAATCTCTGGCACCCAGGTTTGATGCAGTGTCTTACTGTCAGATTTTATTATTTAAAACTGATTTGTTCTGATTTTTAACTTTCGTTAATCAAAGAAGAACGCCCAAATGTGCCGCAGAAATATCAGATATACTTAATATAAAGTGGTACTCAGTAGTTAGTAAAGAGCATTAACCAAGAGCAAGCACCTCCCAACTAGGCCTATGTCACGAGGTTTTCACGGACCGGTCTATTTTTAGATACATTTTAGAGCCCTTTTTCCTGAGTCCATGAGCGCATTTGAAGTATAAGATCATGAAAAAAGAAAACTAAACGTCATTCAAAAGTCACAAATACCATTTCGATGAACCAACAGATATTCTAAATTCGCGCCAAAATAGTTCTAAAAATAAACTGGTCAGTGAAGACGCTGTGACACGGGTACATGGAAGCTGCTCGCTCCGGGTTATGGGCTCCTATTGAATTTCAATGCCATACTGTCTCTTACAGGAGAATTCACGAGATGGAGTCTCATCTGGAAGCCAATCATCAAGCACAGAATTACTTGAGAGATGTATGTATTGTTTCAAAGACTTTCCAGTCAGCAAGCTGATCCGCCACGCACAGAAATGCGATGGTGACATGTCAGGACCTAGAGAGAGGTTTCATGGTTTCTTGCCCTCTATCCATGATGTAAGTGAAGAGTCAATAAAATAGATGTGGTTATAATTTGCGTAAGGTATCAATCGCTTTGTAAAGTAATCCGGAATTCTTCGCTTTGGAATGCGGAATTCAGCTAAAGGAATTCGGAATCCCACTAACGATTGGAATCCTGAGTCCAGGTTTCACTGACAAAGAATCCACAATCCAGAGCGTGGAATCCAGAATCCAAGACTGTCTCAGTTTCCTTACATGGGGTGATATCAATTTTTGTCACTGTACATTAAGGGGAGGTGTTGGCAAGATTCACTGCTTCTTGGAAATCCGATCGGTATCAATGCAAATCCCATAACACTGATTGACCTGGTCTTTCTTAAACTTATCGTTTGTGTGAGCTATAGGGTGTTCTCCTTTTACAATATGGCGGCTGAAGGGGAGAGACTCCATATTGGAAAACGTTGAGACCTGGGGTCGAGTTTGCGAATAGGTAGACTGGTCATGTTATTATTTGGCAAATAACACAGATCTTTAATCACGTATTGTTTTGCCTCTATTCAGTCACCTCAGTGAGTAAAAACAAACTCTCCTCGGGGTGGACTCTTATCCCTTATAAGGGAAAAGTAGTGATATCCAGTCAATTCATCTTAATTTTTGCTTAACCCGGCTCCCGCCTTGAGGAATTGAAATAAAGCAAATTCTTTTCTTTCCTATCTTAATCTAAGCAGTCTTTACCTAGTTTTTCTTGTTTAGTTTTGTTCTTGATGGGGTTTTTAAATGACCATTGATATTGTTTTCAGTTGAGTGCTATTTCATCAGTCGCCATATTAAATGACACTCAACGAGCCGCTTTACAGTACGTCATCACCCGCTCAGCTGAAGAATCCAAGAAAGTTTCGTCTGGTTTACTTGCACGTGTTCAACGCCTGGGTTACAGTGAGAACGACTTGAAGAGGTTTGTGCACAGCTAAATGTATAAGTGTTTTTCAAGTCTGAAATTAAAAATTAAAGAAGGTCGTTGTCCATTAAGGACCAAATTAAATGTCTCAGTAAGAATTTTGAAACGAGAGTAAATGGTAATGAAATACTCTGGGAAAAGTTTTAAAATATCTGAACACCCTTCAATTCCAAACAACCAAACCATTCAGTCGTGCGGACAGTTGTGGAAAGAAAGTTTTTAAAAGTTTGGTTTGCCTCGAGGTTATTCCGGTTTTCTCCAATAAATCAGTATAGCCAATAGTAGTTGTGAAATCGGAAAACGCGTTCCAAACTAAAATGGGTTTTTCCAAAACCAGTATTTTCCGTTGAGAAAGTGAATATTCCTCGGAGCCTATACGCTGTTCATTGAAAATCTTATCATTCCTAACAACAACGAAACCGGTTCAGTAAAGAAAGCCTTTATTTGACCGTCACAATTTGGCAGTCAGTTAAACATGCCAGTAAAACTTCTGAATATGCTGACCCTAAGAAAACTTGATCTCACCGCATGCAGAATGAAAATCTGCTAAAACTGAACTACATCGGCAGCGACTATTTTCCCCCGATGCAGAAATTCTGTATCCTGTGCAGTGGTTAAAATAGGCCTAAAATGTACTGAATTCAGCTACCATGCAGAAATTCTGCACGCGGTAAAATCCGTGAAAATCTACAGAAACTGTACTACATCAGCAGCGACTATTTTCTCCCGATGCAGAAATTCCGCATCATGTTCAGTCGTTAAAATAGGCCTAAAATGTACTGAATTCAGCTACCATGCAGAAATTCTGCACGCGGTAAAATCCGTAAAAAATCTACAGAAACTGGACTACATCAGCAGCGACTATTTTCCCCGATGCAGAAATTCTGCATCATGTTCAGTCGTTAAAATAGGCCTAAAATGTACTGAATTCAGCTACCATGCAGAAATTCTGCACGCGGTAAAATCCGTAAAAATCTACAGAAACTGGACTACATCAGCAGCGACTATTTTCCCCGATGCAGAAATTCTGCATCATGTTCAGTCGTTAAAATAGGCCTAAAATGTACTGAATTCAGCTACCATGCAGAAATTCTGCACGCGGTAAAATCCGTGAAAATTACTTAATTCAGCTACGGATGCAGAAATTCTGCACGCGGTAAAATCCGTGAAAATCTACAGAAACTGGACTACATCAGCAGCGACTATTTTCCTCCGATGCAGAAACCAAGTTCAGTGGCTAAAACAGGCTAAAAATGACTGAATTCAGCTGCTGACATCGCCAGAAACTAGACTAAATAAGCAGTATTCGTAAAAGACATTGCCCAATAGTTCAAATAGACTTCAGTTTACTGGAAATGGTGATGCGATTTTTTTTTCTAAATGCATGGTTGCGTCGCCAGCGCATGGTGAAAATCACGGGTAGCCACCCTCGCGCACGTGATACGATGGCTACAGCTGAAAATAACTAAAAAAATCGTTCAAAATTTAATGACTTGATTCCCTGGCATCAAAATCACACGGGGTTTGTCAATAACTAGTGCAGCGGCGACAATTCTCGAAAACATGGCATCATAACCGTAGCTGCGGCTAAATATTGAATACTCCACAAAGTTGTAGAAAATGTAAGAATTTAGCAGAAAATAAGATTTGCAGAATTTCTGTATCCCACTTTTTCAAGCCATTAGGCTGAGATGCAGAATTTCTGCATCACACAATTGTTGTTAGTAAAAGTATCGAATTTAGCGGAAAATGAAATTTGCAGAATTTCTGCATACAACGTTTTCAAGCCACTAGGCTGAGATGCAGAATTTCTGCATCACAAAGTTGTAGAAAATGTAAGAAGTTAGCAGAAAATAAGATTTGCAGAATTTCTGTATCCCACTTTTTCAAGCCATTAGGCTGAGATGCAGAATTTCTGCATCACACAATTGTTGTTAGTAAAAGTATCGAATTTAGCGGAGAATGAAATTTGCAGAATTTCTGCATCCAACTTTTTCCAGCCACTTGGCTGAGATGCAGAAGTTCTGCATCATACAGTTGTTGTGGAAAATGTACAGAATTTATCAGAAAGTAAGATTTACAGAATTTCTGCATCAAACTTTTTCAAGTTATGCAGAAATTCTGCATCGTTCATTTGCGTTAGATAAACTATACTGGAATTTGTCTGCAGCCTGTAGTCCTGTGGCCAAGAACACCTTTTCCTTACTGCAGCTTTTTAGCCCATTTTTTGTGTCCATGTGTTACCCGTAATTTTTGATTGTATATTTTTAGTGAAAATATAAGTGCAGAGTAATTATGATCGATTAAAACAACTGTTTGAAATTGTGATTCGGTAGTGTTAACAGTGTATCACTCCAACTTTTGATATTACTGCAGTCAAGTCTTTTAAGTTCCTCTCGGAAATCACGTTTTATGCAGAACGAAAGAGAGCTTTTATGACGGAATTTTGTATTTTGGAAAAACCCATTTTAGTTTGGAACGCGTTGGAAGTAATATTCTCCAGTCTATCAAGTCCAATATCTATGTACTTGATAACGTTATGTTTAGGCTAGGACAGCCAGTTTATCAGGACAGGTTCTCTCATCGCATTTTTCTAGGTCGACCCATATTTCTACGTCTTGTAGTGCGGCATTTTTTGGTTACATAATATCAAGAGAATAAGCCAATTTCTGCCTAGGGATAAATTAGAAATGGTGTTGCATGCCTTCGTTACG